TGGAGAACGTGACCTCATTCTATCATTGAGAAGTGACTGGAATCGTGCAGCTTCTCTCTTCCGTTTCTGACAGCTTTCCTCAAACATTCCCTTCGAGGTATTCACTAAGGTGAATGACAAGCGAATATTGATACGGTAGCGACGTTTTGAAGCGTTCGAGCATGCCTCTGCCGGGCGCCACGTTCCGACCCGACGACCGACCGATCGAACCGAATCGACTCCCCCCGCCCCCTTAGCACTCGAAACCGCGTAGGAATTGAAAAGGGAATTCCCCACATTCCGCACTGGTACCGATAAACAGATACCCAGGAGGGGAACGGATGGAAGGCGGAAGAGAGAGAGAGAGGGAGAGAGAGAGGCCTGCCTTGCCGAGGGGTAAGGTGGTGATGCAACGCCAACCGGTTCGCGGTCCCGGGGAGCTGTGTAACTGATTACGTGCTGGTTCCCGCTGTTAAACGGGGTTTTTTCCCGTTTTTTTTTTTATTTTTCCGCGGGGGAAAGGAGAATCTGGGGGAGCGAAGCGGTTCGATCGTCGGAGCGTTACCGCGACATGCTTCGTCGTCGTGGTCCTCCATAAGGTCCTTCACCCTTCATAAATTATATCCAATACATGAGAGTTTGGGGCGTTTTTTTTCATGACTGCTCATCCAACCTTGGAATGTTCCCAACCCTGGGCAATGGACTCAAGCTAAGTGAGTGGGATGTTGAGCATCTTGTGACGAAGCTGCACAACACAGTCTTTCTGCCTTGCACAATGTCTGCCAACTGGTCCTTCACCGGTCATGATGGACTGAGAAACCCTTTTTGGATGTCTCTCAGGGGCATGTGACAAACTTGCCCAACCCACTGGACTGGAGGTTTCTTGATCTGGAGAAGTAGTTGCTAATCCTGAAGACCCTCACATTTGGTTGCAATTGGTATCATACAACAAAGTCTTACACCAGCCAGTCAATATAAGAACCACACCATGGCAGCTTCCTGTGATCTGAGTCTATTGATCACTCCCGCTAAGTTTATGGCCATGAGAAGGGTTGGAAAAAAAGCATGTATTAAAATTAAAAGGATACTTGTGCCTTTTTAGAGATATCCCATTTAGGAATCAATGTCCACCAGAGTTTCTGCAAAACTGTGGAAGCCCTGGAGATGCGATTGTTTATATATTATTCCTTATTACCCATTGCTTGAGAAGCAGAGATCCAGATACTCCACCCCGACTGTTTCAAGGGGCCCCTTCACTTGACATTTAAGGTGGATTATGGAGTACAATGAGTTGAATTAATTCATCATGCTGTATAGCTCATGATTAAACTGGGTCAATAAAACAGCATCACCAGCCAAGAAAAGTAATGTGATGATGGTGATGCACCACTGATGATGACTCCCTTGCAACCCTGGCTACACATACAGATCTTGCCCATGTATGCAAGGAATATGAAAGGAGAGACAATGCAACCTTAGTATAGCCCAGCACATACTGATGAAACCTATACTCATCCCTCTACTAGACCCCCTACTAGAATAGAACTCCTGCAATCGCTGCATCAGGACTGAATGGTCCATAGTACCTCACTATAAATCCAATAGTCCCTACAGCTTCCATAGAAGCTCATGCTTGTAGACCTTCCAAGATCCACGAGGTCTATCTAAAACTTTTCCACATCCCCTCTTAATGTTTCCAAGAATCTGCTCCAAAGAGCTGCTCCATCCCACTGCACCCTCCATGAGTCACAGTTTCTTCAAAACTTCACAAGTAGGTGGACACTTTAAACTACAATGGAGCCCAAGCTAGACATCTTCACATGCACTCTGTTTCAATAAGTAAATTGTTTCCATATAAACAAAATGGAAATGCTTCAAGTCCATCAGACAAACTTTCTATGCTGTACTTTTTCTGTGATAGAAATTGAACTGATGGTCAAGTCAGATGTCTTTCTTCCTGAATCACAGATCTTTAGACTCCTGCATCATCTGAAAACAATGTTAACTACAAAATGCAAACATTTGAACAATGCACTTATGCTGTCTTTTTTTAGCTATTGATGTATGCAATGTAAACTTTGAATTCTGATATGAAAAAGTCCTGAAAAGGGCTTTATAATTTACCTAAGAATTTCAATAGCTATAATGAGTAATTTACCTGATGGAACAAGTGACATTTTTCATTGCATCAAAAATAAGTATTCACACTATAATAGGGCTTAAAATAATCTTCATCACTTTTGGTATCAGAAATCTCAACATCTACATAACCTAAGGCATCATGCAATGCACCTTTGGAATGCTTGGATGTTGAATTTTTCTTAATTCATTTTATTCCATTTCTTTCTCTTTGTACAGCTAAATTTCCTTCAACAACTCTCTTGGATTCCTCTCTCTCCTGTGACCTTCACACCGGTGATTAAACTATAAACCTGCATCCAGGCTTGTGAACTACAGCCCAGATTTTGCCCACAAAGACAACTTCCCATTCCTTTTTTCCATAATTTTGATCAATTGTGCTTACACTAATCCTTTGATATTGACGATACTTTAGACAAATTAATTCGAATTTAAATCGAAACGAAAGGAAACTTCCTCAATCAAAGTTGTTAAGACACGTGGGTTTAGGCATATTGATTGAAAGGAATACCAAAACGTTCAAATTATGCCTGCAAGAGCAGGGTAATGATCTGTGGACCTAAAGTACCTCTAGGACCAATGGACATAATTTTCCCTGGGCCCTTTGCAAATAGGCCAAACAATAAGCCGATCAAAGGCCTCGCATACAATCGACTATTGAAAACCGAGAACGAATGGCCTACCCCAATGATCCCAGTTATACAGAAGGCCAGGGCCAGGTTTTCTGTAACGTTAGTGAAGAGTTAGGCTCATCCATTGGGCACACAACCATAGGCCTGTACTTTTTATACCTATATTGCATTGTGGAAAGTGTGCTCGTAAAACTTTACTTTGGCCTGACGTCCACCTGAGGTTGTGATCAGACTAATGCTCCGGCATGGCTACCACGTGGTTTCACAGGCTTGTTTGACCCCAAAAAGATAGCTTCAAAAGGTGCCGCGACAGCAGCGGCAGTTTCCACCCCTTGGTCTAAATAGACTAGAGGGGGCGAGCCTAAAATAAGTGAGTTCCGACTTGGGTTTCAGTTCACTGCGATTGGATCAGCACTGGGTTTCGGGCCCGAAAATTCAAAAGAAACGAAGTTCAAGTTTTCCCGAAGGGTTCTCGGTTCTCGCTACGGATTACATTCGTTGAAATAGCTGGAAATTAAACTCGCAAAGGGCTTCATTGTGCAAGGTTTTTTCATCCTAAGGTCCATTTCTCCAGAGCATTAATTTCTCAACTGTAACGAGGTGGAATTTGAAGTCTTTCCCGGAACGGCTATCGCTCACACGAAGAAAAAATTATACGAACTCACGAATGAGACATATTGAAACATATTTCCTCGTACATTTTCGTAAATGAATCAATCACGTCGACTTCTCTTCGGCGGAAATGATAAATCTCTCCCCAAAACGCTGAAACGTTTATCGTGGGAATCCAAGGTCGGATTAAAGGGGGGGGGGGGGCTGTTGCCCCCCACTCTTCCAAGGGGGTCCCCCAAAAGGAAATTTAACATGTTAAGGACATAAAAATAATTGTTTTTGCGTAAAGTAGCGGGGACGAGGGGGGGAGCCCCAGGAATTCACTTGCCCCGTGCCTCGCAACTTCTTAATCCGGCCCTGTGGGAATCACAAAGTTTCGAGGATGGTTTCTCACTGTGCTAAGTGCTGATTTCTAAAAATGTTGGATTTGGCGAACACGAACCCTTCTCCGCCTTCGAACGAATTTGGATTCGGTGCACTCTTAAGCAGACGACAGCTAATTCCATTTTTCACCACGAAATGGCTCATGGCCAACAACGGAAAGGGCTCGTATCTCCGATGGGCTCTCTCTCTCCTCCGATAAAAGCTAAAGTCATGGAACGAGGAGAGGGAAATACCAGAACGAAACTCGCACCAGCCAAAATTTGGATTCTATTTTCTCCGCATTCCGGAGGAGATGAAACTTCAAATTTGTGTCGAGAAGGTAAAGAGCAGATTCCCTCGGATTCTCTCGAAGAGGAATAGGAAAATAGGAAGGATCTTTCTCATCCGCAGTCAGTGAATGATCTCATCCAGGATTTTATCGATACTCGATTAAGCACGCTCTCCCCCGTGAGAGCGAAAACCCAAGGATCGTTTCGGAAGGCTGTCTTGGCAAAATGCCGACAAGGAGAGTTTCCGTCTGGATCTCCGCGCCGAAGGTCTACTTCTGGCACTGCATAATTTTTCTTTAGTCACCTTCCAGAAAAGCCCGGTGGTTCGTCCTAAGTCCATCCGTGCTTCGTAAAAAGACTTCTTCTTCGGCAAATAACAAGACGACTGACTTTATTTTCACTATTTTCCACGACATTCTTTTGCTCCTCTTCCTGTGGTGAAAAAAAAAATACAGGCAAAGGGGAAGCGGGAAGAGGAAATTTACCGAATTGTGGACCGAATGCTGACCCATCACAGCATATGACCCAGACAGCACGAGTGAAATCCACTACAGCAGCAAAGCATCGATGATGCTCCAAGTATTACCTGAATGAAATGGGAATGTAACACAGGCGATGGGCATCGCCTACCCTCCAAATTGACAACCAACAGACACATCCGACCGATTCGACAGATGGTATATAAAGGGCAGAATTTCACAACGTCCTAAGGCTGGCCATTCCATGATAGAGGCGCAATCGGGCAACAACTTTCCACTCTCCTGTCCAATATCACTTGTCCATTAGCACTTTGGTCACCGTCGTTAAGAGAAAGCCAGTAAAAAGAATCCAAAATGTCAATATTCACATTTTCACGAGTTTCTTCCGGACGAGACACGAGATCCGTCTCCAAAAACTTCGTCTCGGACGAACTTACGACAACACGGGAGCAAATCGGATCCATTCCCTCGGCACAAAATCCATAGGCTCGCATGGGATGTGTCCATCAGGAAGCAGTCCCTCCGGAAGTAGTCCCACCGGAAGCGTGTGTCTTCTTGTGGCGGAAGATCTCTGTCGTGGAGAGCCTCAGTTCTCTGTTGCAATCGGGGCAGAAGTACTTGCGAGATCCTTTTCCGCTCTTCTCCTCCTCCTCCTCCTCCTTTTTCTCTCCTTTCTCTGGAGTGAGAAAAGAGAGCCTTCGACATGAAGTGAAAACACATTTTCAACGAAACTACAGTCGAGGAAAAAAAGTTTGTCAAGCTCCCTTGGGAGATTTTCCTCTTTCATATAGACCAGGAATCACACATCACAAAGCGAAAGCAGTTCTCGTGTTCCGTATTCAAAGTGGCAGGAGAATCATGCATTCAGACGGGCATTCCAGGGGATTGAGAGGTACTTGCAATGTAGGTGATAACACTAGATGGCCTCAAAAAATGTTACGTCGAGACCGTTTTTTTTATTCTCGACCTAACATTTTTCAGTGTCGCCCTGTATGTACCATTAGGCTCCATGCATGGCCATTACCTTTTCAAACGGTTTACTAATTAACCCTTGGAACGCCAAGATCATTTGCATCCCGCGAAACGCCAAGATCGGGTCGTTTTTGACCCATATATATTTCTAGTAACGAATGAGGTTTTTGTTCAGAATAGAAGCTACACATACCTTTTTAAGATATTTATGTATTTATTTCCCAAGTAGATACCAAAAAAAGAAACGATAAATCCAAAATAAGATATATGGTTAATATACAAAAAATTTAAAATTTCGACTGTATGGGTCATTTTGACCCGATTTTGGCGTTCCGAGGGTTAAAAAACATTCAATCATTTTCCTATTTGCTCATATTATACGCTTGAGATGCACCCGTTCGTAATTTCCTTGCACAATTCCCTCATCCTCCCCCTAAAGTTTCAAAATGGTCATCTTTATTTTTAACAATTCATTAATGCATAGACATGCATCAATTAATATCTTAGTCTAAATTCATATTTCCCCAGTTCCATCCACAGAAACCAATATCAACTTTCAAATCCAATACTTCTTGGGAGTTTTTGAGCACCCATCCAAATAGGTGCAACCATATTTCCCACTTTCACTAAGTGCATGAAGAGAGATTTCACTATATATTGTTTCTTTTCTTTTCCCACCAGCAAGGGCTCCCAGAAGGGAGCTTCGATGCAACGCTCAAGGCCGTTCCGTAAACAATGAGTTTCGTGTAGCTCTTGTGGATGGCAATGAACATAGCAGCATGAGATTCATCTCAATGACTGGTGAAAATGTGAAACATCCTTAATTGACTTGAGCAAGGAAATTTGCCTTGAAGCATACCATCATGGTCGTGCAGGAGATAGGCACGCATGTGATTCAGTTATTCAAAGACGTTGTCCAGGGGGAAAAGGGTTTCGCAGTGGGGACAGGTCCATCCTGATTCCTCCTCGTCCTCCTCTCCCATTCCTCCCATCCCTCGCAACCCCTCAGGCTCTCCCCTTCCAGACTGCTCGCAAAAATGCAGGGAAATCTTACTACACTCAAAGATCACATATCACGGTTACCAAATGAAGGAAGAATCGCACATGGCTATTTTTCTTACTTAATGACTACATACCAACACGGTCCAACAGTGACTATGGAGCAAAAGAGTGCATAATCCAAATAGCAAATTACAGAAACTGACAACGGAACAGTGACTACACCAGCATAGATAAATAAGGAAAAGAGCAAAGCGAGAATGGCGGAGTGTCCTGCACCGGTCGTAAGTGAGGAAAGGAGTGAGTCGGAGACCCCCCTTCATGGGATGGATGTCGCCCCGAATGACGTCTCCGTCGGTGGAGAAGGGATTCCCCTCTCCGTCCAGCCTCCAGATGTCTCCTCCCGTGTCTCCCTCGTACAGGTGCTTGGTGTCGGCGGGCAGGAGCCGTCGTACGGAGCACGGGACTTCCTGCAGGTAGAACTGCAGGGCGAGGCGCTGGAGCCGCCGCGAGTCCCCGGCCCTCCGAGAATCCTCGTCCCCCGAGAGTCGAGTCGCGAGGATCTCCATCCACAGCGTGCGGATCTGAGCCGCTCGCAGCAGGGCCAGCTGGGCGGAATCCGGGTCCGGGAAGCGCAGCTCCAACCACTCGTCGCAGACCACTCTGCCATCAGGGATGGTTTCGACGTAGGATTAGGATTTGACAAGTCAGATATCTCTTCAGATCCCTCTGCATTCATTCTTTCGTCGCTTATATTTGCTTTAATATCACCACTCCTGTTTTTAGAGAGCACGCTTTCTTTTGGAAAGAAGCTACCGATTTAATCGTTTGAACGTGTGCGTGAGACTGAGTCAGTCTGCCTGCGTCCGTCTGGGCAAAGCTTTCCTCGACAATTATGGGAATATTTCAGCTTCAAAATTGGCCATTATAAATTTACACACCAACTTTCAAACCTGCTGAACATCTTGGTTTTCCAGAACCTATGCACAGTATCAAATTTATCTCAACACAGAAATGAGAAGTTTTGAAGGACAAACGAAGATGAAGAGGCGAAAGCATGGGGAAACCTTCGGCCGGCAGGGGACAGAAAATTATGACGAGTATGAAACCAATAAGTCTGAAAAAGCCCTGTTTAGTTGTTTTTGTACAGAAACAATGCAACTATCCAGTTCAGTTTGCAATCTAGAGCTGAATAAATAATTTATCCTGATCTTTTTTATTATAAGGAAAAACTTGAGCCGACCGAGAGAAGTCCGGATCGGAGTCGACGGAGCGGGAGGAGACAGGAATGGGCGGCCGGCACCCGCAACGTATTCACGATGTACGGCTTCGTCGTCTCCAGCAGGGACCTGTTCAAAGTGCAAAACACACCAGTCCATGTGTGAAACGATCCTCCTGTTGCCTGCATGACGCATTTCTGATGCCGTGTTGAGTTTCACCGTGGAAATCAACGTACATGTAGATGCAAGCACGATTCAAATGACGTGAGAGTCACAACATGGAGGTAAAATTTAAAAAAATACGTACACGTAAAGCAGAAGCTGGTGCTTGGTGGAGACGGGATTCCGACGAGCGAACCCGGGGAAGTCCAGGATGTCCGCTTTGGTAATCTGGAGCACCTGCGGGTCGTTGACCGGCTTCCCCATCGGATGGAGGACGGTGAAGGCTTTCCCCTTTGTGTGATGCACTTGGTCCGACCCCGGCTGAAAGGGATCACAGGCAAGAAGGATCCCCGTTCTCACCCTGTAGGAGTCGTGGTCGTCGGGGACGGCGACTTGCGGGTACAAGGCACTCACTAACACCATCTTCACGATGGTCACGTCTTGGAAGCTCCGGATGCGGGTTTTACTCGAAAGGGCCCAACCGTCACGTATCACGTTACGATAAGGTAATGACATCGGGAAGATCTTCATATACATTATTAAAGAAAAGCGGAACGGACCCGAACGTGCGTGCGACTTTCCGTCGCCTGCCCCCACGTCTCGTGGAACTTGCGCTTCATGCTCCTCAGCTGCTTCAGCTCCCCGTATCGGATTCTCCGCTCCTCGCTCGATTCGGGCATCCGGCCCAACCGGTCTACCAGTCCACTGTCCTGTGGAAGTTGCATGCAGTCGGTATATGTGACCTCGTCGACCCGTCGCTCCATCACGCTCCTATGCCATTCCTTTTCGAGGAAAAACTCCCCGTTCTCTGAACGTTTTCCAGTTAGCCTATAACTCTTCTGTTATCCTGGATTTCCCCTTTTCACGTGCCATGATGACGGCAACTTGCATATTAATTTCAATTAGCTTTTAAACGATAGCGTACGTCGGGGGAATATGGGCATTTAGATGGCGTTTAGCGTGGGATGTGAAAAGAATGATTCCCCCGACTGTTCGGGGTAAAACGGGCAATGAAGTGGTTAACATAAGCAAACAATGAAACCAGGATATTTTGCTATGCAAATGTGTCCCTGAACATATAGTCAAACCATCCAAATGAAAAAAAGCTATCTACCACGTATTTGGGTTCCACGCGGGTGAGCAATACTTTCTAAGCCAATACATATTCCAGACAGAATAATCCTGGTCAGTGGCCCCAGCATAATTCTTATGGAACCATGGGAAATTGGCCTTGCATTTTTTTAAAGCCTTCTAGGCTTGTTATAGGGTTTATCAAAAATGTATCAGTATCTGAAATAGGATTAAATACTTTCAAAATCACTTGGCAACCTTCGTAGCTTCTTAGCTACGAACGCCATGAACGACTCGATCGCAACACATGCGGACTTCCCGTGTGATAGACCGAATAATCGACAAAAGGTGAAGCAGCTCCCTCGCTAGACGATCACACTTGCGAAAGAAGAAGCACCACTACATAAGCGACATTGGCAACTCATCAGATTTTACGTGTCCCTCTTAAACAGGAATAAAACGAGGGAACACGAGCGGGTGCCCCAAATCTTCCCTCACCCGATGAAATAGCACGAGAGAAGCTGATAATACATGCACAGGGAAACAGGAGTTTCTTTTTTCTTCGGGAAAGGAGTAGTCATACTTGAAAGAAATAACATGTTGTTGACCACCACAGGAGCTGATAACATTGAAAGTGATCTGCGGTGGCCTTCAATCTGCCCTATACGAACACGTTACACCGATACCACCACATATACCTCCAACGAATATAAACCCCACATGAGGACATCGCACATCGTTATGCACAGTGAGCATGAAAACCTGGGGGAAAATTACCCGATGGAGAATACCTGCCGAGTCGTCCGTATCGTTCCTTAGATACCATTTTCCTCTTTGTTAAACTGATTAAAATCACGATGTTATAGTCTAAAATTGAACAATCGAGGACAAGTGCTGTTTTGATGTGGTGCTAGTCAAAGTACTGTGTAAATAATTTGCGTATTCCATCGGGTTCCCGCACGTAGAAACGGAGGATTTTCATAAACATCGCAATCCTGATCTCATGGTAGCATTCCGAGTCGAGCGAGGGCCAGAGAAATCGCCCGAGACGAACACCGACTTCCAGAATGCTCGTACGATGGAAACCCCAGTAACACTCGGCAACGAGTCTCTCACCTGGAGGAGGTCCTGGAACTGCTGCCGGAGGTTTGCGACCTCGTAGAGACGCTGTTCCTCGACGCCCCGGTCGCGACACCAGCGTCGGCTGTCCCTCCCCTCCTTGCCGTCCCCCTTCCCCTCCAGCCACTCGCAGTAGATGTCGAGGAGGGTGAGGGGGTCTCCGTGGTCCGACTCCAGGCTCGCCCGAAGCGTCTGCGGGGCGAACGACAGCTTAGAATTCGTCTCTCGTCGTCTCGGGGGAGTCGGGCGCTTCCTCGGGGCTGCTTTGTGCAGTAGGGGATGCTAAATCCTGACATTTGATGTCCCATTCCACGAAAGAAATGAGAGCGCCACCCCTGACTTACTTGACATAATCCTTTTTTCCCGTTGGATGCTCGAAATTACGTGTCGCGATCACGGCGATCCTTGGGTTGCACCACACTCTCACACCGACCCCAAGATGAAGTTAAACTTTGATCTAGTCTTTTAAGGGTGATTCCAGTCATTCCATCCCTCAATTTCTTCATAAGAGATGCCACGTAGGGGTACTTTCGACACGTTCAGCTTATACAATATCAAGTTCGTGAATCGGTTTGACTCCACATTGAATCGTTTCATTGGAGTAGCACTGAAAAATAGCGCAACAAAAGCGAGACGAGAACTTTTCAACAGCAAGATGGGCATGACAATCACTGCAAGAATCCATGCCTCTAAAGGCAAATGCGGTGCAATCGGTCCCAGGAATTGTAAGCACACGAAGAGAGCATTTGAGCGAGGATGATTAATCTGTTGAGTTCGACCGCACAAGTACGGTTTCGAGCTTCGCGCTTTCTCATCCTCGGGAAGGGCAGTAATGCATCGAACATCGAAACGCCAAACTCCCTCCTCAACAGATTAAACAGAGGCGAAGTGCACACGCAGACGGTTTCTTCCGGTTGACAGGGCGGGGCGGGGAGCAACCGCGGGGTTGTCCTTTCTCGTTGCTAAGCAGTGCGCTGTTCGTGACCCCAGTGTATGCCGTTCATCCACGGCTTGGCCAGGCAGATGGAACCATCTAGGTGGTTTTTGCTTTTCACAGAGTTAATCTTATCCATTGTTTCCTGCCGATGAAAATTCGACGATATTAATGTAAACGCACCATCGTCGATACCTTCCGTTCGTGAAACTGTCGGAAATATTAGTGCTCACCGATACTGTGACCTCACCTTAGAGAGATGAGGCATACCATCTCAGAGTATGATATCGTAGAAACGCTCGGCGTTTCATTGTATAGATAGGCGCCATACGTAACGGGGAAATTGAAAAGACCGTCACTAGTGTCGAAAATTGCGCATCTAAGGACCACAGTCTGCATTGTTTGCATACCGTCTCCCTGGTAACGAGTCACGACAAGACAGCTGATCAATCAGATTCCTCATGACGACCGAGTAAATCTTACCCCAATCGATTCCCATAGCAAGGTAAGCAGTGCGGTAATAAAGGGAGGAATGTTGGAGGAAGGCTTACTGAAGGGAGGGTTTATGAAAGGAATGATCACTGAGGCGAAGAACACTAAAATGGTGCCGATGAAGCTTTAAAATTTCGAAAGTACAAAATTGGAAATTGTTGATCTGTTACTCCGGGGACGGTAACACTTCCTACCGCTCAATCGGACATGTTCTCCCATGTCCGATTGTCTATTTCGCTTATTTGAAAAATAAAGTTACATGCCCGAAAATCGGGCATGTAACTTTATTTTTCAAATTATATAGAGATTAGGGAAAACTCAGTGTTCCAGACTTCCTTCAAACTTGTACGATGGAGATGAAGCCACATAATTAATAAAAACACTTATTTTTAGTTTTCCACTCTCCGTTTCATTTCTCTAGCTAGTTTTTTTTAAGTATGATATATATGCAATGCATGCAAACGCGTAGTGCTGAATACATGTTTTTATTTCATTCCATTATGGATTCCAATTTCAACTTTTCCTTACTAAAACGAAATGAATTAACATAAATCAAAGTCGGTTCAGCGTAATTCTCTCTCAGTGCTCAGTCTTAGTTCATTATTGCAGGCAGGGCCCCATCAGTTCTTCACAATAACGAATTCATGATGCCGCAACCGCAACCGTGTGACAACTGCCGAGAGTAAATGAGTTAGCGTGACTCTAGGGAAACCTCAGTGACTGCCGAACCATCAAGCTAGCTCACGGATTCCTGAGATAAGCCTCGCCCCCAATTGCGCGTGGGGTGAGTTTAAGTATTAATGTCGATCGATGTTATCCATATGCTGCGATATTCGCACGTAGGCACTGGCCCCCTGTGAAAAGTTCACCTCATTTACTGAACTTATATAATGAGAACTACTTCCTCAGAATATGCAATAGGCATTATTTTTCATAATCACCCTTGAATTGCGATTCCCATGCATACTCCTTTTCAAACCTCACATTCCCAGCGTGGTCCCAATAATAGCGCAAATAAAATGTCCATATACTTTTTCCATAAAAGTTCTAGTTGCTTTTCCCCGCGAACGCTAAAAAAAACTCTACCGCATGGTGGCTAACACTCCTTTTGAAAACCCGGGGTGAAACAGTGGGATGGAACAGCTACACGCTGGGTGGTGAAGTTAAATACGTGCAGTACACAATACGGGATTTCTTCAAGATTCTTAGCACCTCGTAAAGTGTACTTTGGGAATGCCATTCAGTCATTTATGGCGTGTCACTTGTCAAGAGGTAGATTCGCATCACATGAAAACGTTCCTTTATTGTTCGGAAAAACACCTGTTCATGGGCAAAAAATAGGAAAGAGGAGGGATTGAGGGACTTCATTGCTGTGGAATTTGGCGAAATTGATTCATTTCTTAAGCAATTATTCCCCCTGCATATCGCAATGAGAGAAACATATCTCCTTAGACACGTGTCGTTTGCTCAAATGCAGTGATCTCTGAAAAATTATGCAGCATGCACCTGATCATCTCATCAGGTGCATGCTGCGGAAGTGGACTGTCCTTATACTCCCTTGATTACGAAACGTACATTGGGTAATCCGTATCTATATTCCTGTCTATCACTTTAATATGCACGCTTAACTTTCTTAATTTTTAACTTACCTTGGGCGTTTTATCTCTACTGAAAGTGAACTCAAAGTGAATTTTTTACATGGACGTTGCTTATTCTAGACCTGTACCAATGCTTCGGCAACCGCCGATATGGCTCCACCAGAAGGTTTCCTATCTGCCGGTGCCGATGTCCAAAGACAGTGTAGAACGAAGAAAATTAGGGCTGTCCTGATGCATCCATCGATGAATGGATGTCATCTTCGATAGCTAGAGTCATGGAAGGTTTCATTACTCTTTAGGAAGGTCACACATTCCCGTTGTACCACGGATCACAAGCGTGAGATTATGGAAGCCGGATAGAGGCTCCGATCGCGGCGAGAAAACATGAAATCCTCCGGCGCCCCCCCCCTCCCCATGCATCAATACACTTTCGATAGTTTAGGTCGATGCATCGATGTTATGAAAACTGCTATCGTGACAGCCCTACTTTGAATAAGAATAATATCACCCTCAGAGGGAATTGGGATCAGTGAATCCGGATTTTTTAAAATAGTTTTAACACTTAAAATGAGTTCCTTTTTTATTGGCAGTTTTATATGGTACTTTTAAAGAAATATTAGCGGACAAGGTGAAAAACGTGAAATTTATATATTATTCAAGGAGTCATTGTTAAGCAACAATTATTCTGACAAAATTACACAACCCCAAAAATTAGGTATAGATTTGATGAGACATACATAGGAATCATGAATATGTTTCACATATAGCAATCCTGGCATGAAAAGAAAAAATGCTGTAAGGAACTAACAAACAAAACACATTTAGTCCTTTCGCAAAAATCTCGTTACATACATTTTCAATCCGTTTGAAACCACTGATCATTTCAAACTATCTATACCTAACCCTATTCCCAATCCGGACCAGACGAATCAGCTGAAGTTAACTTTCGACTCAGCGAAAGAACATATTGTGTGTGGAAAACTGCAAAACGAACTGTGCATATTTCGTTCAAATCTGCTTCTAAAGCCAAATACTCCGATGCAAGTTCACCTGGAGCTCAATAAACCCATGGAAAGTAAGATTCAATCGGTGCGAAGGAAATGTCGAATGCACACAAATACATTACTTGAACGTGTGCGTATGCAAAATGTGCTAAAGCTTCTCCTTTCCAAGGCAAACAGGATATGCTCAGACTATCTGTATGGATGCCAAGAAGCACGAGGTTACTTTGAGAATCAAGGGAGTTGGATCTCGCAGAAGTATCCATCCCAGGTCGAAGAACAACCCCAATCCGACCAAAGTCCACAACAATTTGGACCAAGCGTTGCAAAGAAATGCAAGCACCCACCGCTCCCATCAGGATGTCCTGGAGGGAACTTCCATTGGCCCAATCCAGTCAGGTTGATCTTCGTTCCTATTTAAAAAAATTCGAAATTAATTAATAGCCACATTCTTCTTTGTGAGCATGTCTTGCTTTAATTTCACACACATGGGGGAATTCGCGAAATGTAATGAATCCGCTGGGAGGATTTCTGAACTGAAAGAGAACTCAGAGTAACCTATCTATAATAGAATGCCATGGAATCTTTCACCCCACGTGCGTAGTCAGATTATACTCCATTAAACTGCATGCATGCTTAAACATCAAAATGCATTTTCCGAAGAAAGTCCTAATTCGAATAGGAGATTCAATTTAATGAAGGGAATATTTCAAACGGAACAATTTAAGTTTCCAAGTTATGGAAAATGTTCTATTCATTACATATGCATGCCAACGAAGGTGACATGTCTTCCTTACTGCTCAATTCCCAATGGGAACGGAGAAAACTTATAAAAAAATATTTTCGCATGCTTTCCTTAAGCAAATTGTTTATAATACGAAATTTGGAAAGGCAAAAGAAGCGAATGCCATGTGACGCTCACCTAGGTTCATATCGCAAAGTGTACTGCTGAAATGCATGAAGTCTGAATTTCTTCAATTTGCACCATAACACCCTCAGTGGTATTGTGCAAATAGAAGACTTGCACTCGATGGAGTGAGATAGAACCGAAAGCAGAAAGCACCATCAAGAAGCCACACTCATGGAATTATAGTAATCAATAAATTCCTTCCAAAAATCTGATGAGAAATGAACTTGCCATCGAGGAGCTTCCAGTGCCACTTGTCGAACGTGCTGTAACCTCCAATCCAGAGGCACTTGTAATTGGGATAGATTCCATTCACCATGAGGAGATTATACAGGAATTTGTGGATCGTCTCGTCGTTGTCGATGACGAGCCATCCGCCATCAGCCTGGCAGGCTGCCAAGGACTGGTTCCAATTTTTC